ACTCAACAGTCAACCATTTCAAAAATAGGGCCCCAGTGGTCACAACCACCACAACCACTGAGCTATAATAATAACCGTCTCTCTCGCAGTAGTAGGGGTCGCCGGAATTTTATCCCCCTGGAATTTTACCCCCAGTTTTTTACCCCCTGGCCGATTTTAGAAATTGAATGTTTGATTTTCTTATTTCTGTTTTTAATTAATTGTAAACATTTCATTATTTAGTAGCCTATCTTTATTTATTTAACCCCTCAAAAAGATTGTCAAATGGGTGGACCCCCTCTTGCAATGGTAACACTGGTTATAGTCATGAGATAACCGAATGGTTTTCATGAACGAATAATCAATCAGTTATTATTAGCGTCAATCGGTTATTTTTAGTTTATAGAATCGCCGAATTAATTTTAGTCATTATTCACTGTCCCAAACCACAACTAATTTTTATCTAACGAGAAACTGAATAAGCATTTAGCGTCAATCGGTGATTTTTAGTTAAACGCCAACTAAAAGCGTGCGTAGGGGTGGGTTGTGTTGCTAGCCTAGTGGTTAGCGTCTCGGACTTCGGTGCGGGAGGGACGGGTTCCATCCCCGGTACATTCACCAAACTTTGATCTCTCGTAACTTCTCTTGTAAAATGCCACTGGCGTAGAAAAAAAAAAAAAAAAACGATTTTCCGTACAACAACTAATTTTACCTGTACTCCAGGATCTGAAGGGGGTTGAGTATGCATGAAAAGGCTGACGCAATTTTATTTCTGATTGTTGTTATAGGCACTATAATCACGAAAACGCATGTTGTCGCCCCCCAGCGTGGTCGACATCCCGGGGGGAGGGGGGCAATATGCTGGCGGGTGGCGCCGTTTACTTAAACACCTACAGGGTGAGTTTTAATTGTCCCCTCCAACTTTTTCCTACATTTTTCCAAATATCAATCCCAGACCACTTCCAAACATTGTTGGGTAGTAAGTACTTCATTTTGACAAGGTGGTCATTTCCGGCCGCCATCTTGGATCCGCCATATTGGATGCAAAATTTTTTTTTCAAATGTAACGGTGGGGTTGTGACCCATTATTTCGAACTACATTTTTACCCTGATTACAATGCCGCAAACCGTTTTAAAAATCTTGATTCATTGTAAGGTTATGAGGGCTTTTTAAAACTTTATTTTTAGCCCATTTTAACATTCTGCATTTACAAACTAAGTCCATAACCTCAAAATAGGGCTAGATAAAGATAAGTATATACTACCAGTAATTGTCGACCTATTTTCACTTGGTTATGACTGATGTATTTTTTTCAGCCACCATCTTGGATCCACCATTTTGAAATGTGATAAATTATTTTAAATATGAAGGGGGTGTTGTGACCCATCATTTTGAACAACATTTTAAAGCTGAACTTAATTCCATGATCCGTTTTTCATTTTATTTTTTTTATTTTGAAATATTGGCATTTTTAACAAAAAAATTGCAATATTTCATAAATAAAACTTGATAACAAAAAATGGATTGCGGCATTGAGTTAAGCTTAAAAAAGTTGTTCAAAATGATGGGTCACAACACCCCCTTCATATTTAAAATAATTTATCACATTTCAAAATGGTGGATCCAAGATGGGGGCTGAAAAAAATCAGTCATAAACAAGTGAAAATACGTCGACAATTACTGGTAGTGTATACTTATCTTTATCTAGCACTATTTTGAGATCATGGTCTTAGTTTGTAAATGCATAATGTTAAAATGGGCTAAAAATAAAGATTTAAAAAGCCCTCATAACTTTAGAATGAATCACGATTTTTAAAAACGGTTTGTGGCATTGTAATCAGGGTAAAAATTTAGTTCGAAATAATGGGTCACAACCCAACATTTACATTTGAAAAACAAAATTTGCATCCAATATGGCGGATCCAAGATGGCGGCCGGAAATGACCACCTTGTCAAAATGGAAGTACTTACTACCCAACAATGTTTGGAAGTGGTCTGGGATTGATATTTTTAAAAATGTAGAAAAAAGTTGGGGGGGGGGGACAATTAAAACTCACCCTGTATAACTCTAGAACTATTATTGGTAGAACATTGAAATAGACATCAATTTACTCATAAAATTTTGATCTTTAAAAATGTTGCTGCGTTGAAATTCGTATCTTTGTTGGTTTTTTATTTTAGTTATTTTATCAGAGTCATTAAAGAAATAACCCCGCTGTAGCAAACCTGCAGACTAAGCGAATTTACACTCACCTGACTGGATTTCTATTAAAATATTGTCAGCTTTTCTGACAATTGTACTGAAAATTGTCAGCTTTATTTCCTATTAAAATAAAATTAATTTTAATGAGTTGGTAGGTTTGATGCTACAGGGAAAGTATTGAGCTAGTTTTATTGAAATGTTGATAGCTCAGTATGAAAGAAACAAAATTGCCAAATTTGATTAAAATATATCCATAAATAAACAAACTACACCAGCTTATTTATTCTCCATAAAAATAACATGGGAAATTTGAATTTAAAGTGTTTTTTAGCGAATTTCCCTATAGGGAAGTAGCTATTACCGTAGGTCTCATGGTAAGACTTAGGCCCGGGACCGATTTACTTTTTCATTTTGATGTCCCCAGAGGACAAAAACACCATTTGTTCAAATTTTTATATATGTATATATATATATATATTAATTTATTTTCTCTGTATATATATATAGTAAACAGCGCCCCCCACAATATTGCCCCCCTCCACAACGGGATGTCGACCACACTGGGGGGCAACAACATGCGTTTTCGCGATCACTTTAGTGCCTATAACAACAATCAGAAACGAAATTGCATCAGCCTTTCATGCATACTCAATCCCCTTCAGATCCTGGACTAATGATGATGTGATGATAAACCGAATAACATTTAGTCAACAGGCCTAACAAGTACCTACCTTTTTTTTTACTTATCTGTATTAAATAAAACTCATTAAATGTTGATGCATTTTTCGTTGAAGTCTTCAATAGAGTACATTGGATTTTCAGTAAGGATTTGTTTTAATTTTCTTTTGTATTCTTTTAATTTTTAGTTTTAAATAATAGTTGGTAATTTGTTAAATAATTTTCTTCCGTTGTAATAAACATGTTTTTCATAAAATTTTGTTTGGTGGAAAGTAGAAGAGAATGTTTGTAATTTTCTCAAATCATAATTCTTCTTACATAATTCATAATTTTTCAAGAATTTCTCAAAATTGTTCTTTAAAAATAGTAATGTTTCATAAATATAAATTGAATTGAGTAAAAGGTCATAAATTGGTAATTTTTAAATATTTTTTAACAGAATTGGCGTGGTTTTAAGTTGTAATTAAAAATATCAGTTTGTAATGATTTATAGGTATAACATCAGAAAGATAAAAATAAAAAAATCTTAATATAAATTAAACTGACAAACTTTGTTATATCACCAAATCGCTAGGTAAGACTAATTTAACCGAATCAGGATAAAATAATCTAATTAGTCCGTTTAGCATCAATATTTTCATTCGGTGTTTCCCACCACTACTACCGTAATCAAGTACAGTACTTCAAATGCAATTCCAACGTGATCAATTTTAGCAAACTCTTATTTTACGTTCAATGCACGGATTACAGTTATTGAGTTAGGCCTATATGAGAATGTTTTTATCAATAGCTACTCATGTAGGTAAAATATACTGTATCTTGAATACAGAAACATTTGTTTATTGCCCGTTGTTAGGTTTTGCACAACATATAGAAAATGTTTACACTACAATAAACAACATAATATAAAATATATTTAAAAATTCCTATGTGAAATAACTCAAAAAGTTTGAGAACTGTTTAACATTCTCAGAGAGTCAAAGCAAATATTGAAGTTGAAAGAGTGGCAAATTTTAAATCAGTAATTAATTCACATCAATCATTTGTTATTATTGACTAGACTTAAATGCGACACAAATCTTCAATGATTAAAAAAATACATTATTTATAATGATGTCTTAATATTTCAACACAAAATGCAAATAAAAAGCAGAGTAAAAAGGCAGTAGGTTCTTAGAAAAATATACAGTAAGAAATAATTTACTAATTTAAAATAATAACTTTCATAAATATAGATTTTTACGAGCCAACAATACTAAAGTTCGTTCCTCATATAGTCCTATGACTGTGTCGAGGGGAGCGAGCTGGTTGGGGAGCGAGCTGGCGTAGTGGCTAGAGCGCGGGACTTCGGTCCGTGAGGTCCCGGGTTCGATCCCCGCCAAGTCACCAATGGATTTTATCTAAGTGATAATGCCGCAACCCCTAGGTCTAGCCTGAAGTAATGTGAAAAACAATCCCAGGCTCGTGCCTAGCGTCCTAGGACAAAAAAAAAAAAAAAAAAAAAAAAAAAAAAAATGACTGTGTCGAGTCATCATTTTCTGCCTTAACATGTTTCAACAAATGTCTTTTCAATTCAGGTCTTCGTCTGAAAGTTTTATCACAATGCGGGCATACACAGGGTCGCTCATCCGTGTGAGTTAGCATGTGAGATTTCAAGTGTGACCTTTGTGTGGTTGTTTTCGGGCACAAATGGCACTTAAAAGGCCTCTCACCAGTATGTGTCAGAATGTGTGCCTTCAACACTAGCATTTGAGTGAAGGATTTTCCACATTCCTCACAAGTATGAGGTCTTTCCCCGGTGTGTGTTCTCATATGTAACTTCAAAAATCCTCTTCTCAAAAAGGCCCTTCCACACTCCGTACAATGATGATTTCGCTCACCTGTGTGAATGAGCATATGCTGTTTTAACACTACCTTGGATGTAAATGACTTTTCACACACAGTACACTTAAAAGGCCTCTCCCCCGTGTGTGACATCACATGTACTTTTAAACT